GCCAACATTTTGGCCAAAGTGTATTCATGGGGTTTCTAGAATGCATAGGTTATATTTCCAACAAGAGTAAATCATTAATCCATGCATGTTGTTTTCACCTCTGTGATTTTGGCAAAAAACAGAAAAAGAAAAGAAGACGAATCCCTTAATTGGACCTAATACATGACCCTTTTACAGAAACCAGTTATAAATATTTAAGAAATTAGTAAATTTGTCCTCTTCAAACTCTGAGACCTTTTTGAACCATATTAGTCTACATGTACATTTATACATATGCATCTTCCCATATTCTGAAACTAATACATTATTGTGCATAGAAAATTGACTTGTTCATGCTTACTTTTAGGTGTTGGAGCATTTAGACAATGGAAAAAATCATTACTGGATATGCTCTTTTCTTAATTTGTTTTTCATTAGATAGCCTCTCAAGAAAACACCATGAAAGATACTGATATCAAGAGACTACTGTATACCCATCTTTTATGCATATTTTCAATTATCCTAAGCATCTTCATTCCATCATTCTTCTTGGAGAACTTCTCAATATTGGAAACACACTTGACATGGTTGTGCATCTGTTCTGTTTTTGTAACTGCCGTCAATCTAGTATTATATTTAGTAGTGAAACCAAATGCATCCTCTAAAAGAAGTTCATTATCATACAAGGTAAGGCTTATTTCTTGATAACTGATTTTTAGATAGAGGTAGTGTTTCTTTTAATGAAAGAATAAAGTATTAGTCAAGTACTCATGGGGTTATTTACAATGAGTAAAGAGAACCTGATTTGTTTTTTTCCCAAGTCAATACCCTATTATTGCTGGAAGGCTGCCCACAATGTTCGATAGACCCTTGCCAAGCATCAGTTGTGGAATTAGTATGTCTTCAGTGGATATGACAGCACTGTAAACCTAGATAGTCATGTTTTAAGTCACCATTGCAGATAAATGCATGATGTAGCAGTCATATCTTTAAACTTTATAAGACATTTTAGTTTATTTTCATTTATTTTTTCCATTTCTGAGAGAAACTTAATGGATTTTTCAGAAATTACCAAATAAGCATCTGAGGTAGCTTTGTTTTGAACATGACCTTCCTCGACTAAACAGTGTTAAAGTTTTCAAATATCACAATCTATTTTCTAGAATATTCACTATCGTGTAACACTTGACTATTACTTTAAATTAATAAAGGCCTCCCTTAATATTACCCAATACTATGTGTAGCTTTCTTAGATAATTTAAAACGCATTTACTCCCCTACAATTAAAAAACTCACTGTGTGTCTTATAATTAGATCTTCTTAAGCTCCAAATCAAGTAGATCTCACACTGATTGCAGACATGCAGGTCTTTTATCATATGCATCATATAATCACATGAATATGATTTGGGGAATTATTTAGTATTGTGCTCTTTTGGTACAATTTTCCTAGGAATTTTGTTTTTAAATGAAAAAAAAAACCGTAGTCCTTATTTTCTGCAAAGATTTCATGCATCACATAATAAGCACTGTGCGTTTTTTTGTATCATAGTGTTCTGTTGTTGGTAAATATTTTATAAATACTGATTAGTAACATAGCTCAATGCATACTGTAGGAACAGAAATGCTTTTTGATTCCAGTGCTGATTGGGTGGGTGGAGCATGGATGGTGATTTGTGACTTGTAGGCTGTTTTGTGGGGCTGTCTGGAGGTCCGTGCACCTGACTGTGCACAGGAGATGGAATCTTACTTCAGGCTACCCAAAGTAAAGAACATTCAACTGTTGCACACATGGGAATAAGTTGTATTTGTAGATAAAGTGGAAGCATTTGCTGTCCTCTAGGCATTGTCTTGAGCCTTCAAATCATTCTCATTTCTTTTTTAGGTAACCAGGTTTTTGAAATGCTGTATCTACTTTCTTATGTCATGTTTCTTCTTTCATGTAATTTTTGTTCTATATGGAGCACCACTCATAGAGTAAGTCTGAAATTTTTACCTTAAGGGAATAATATTTTAAAACACTTGTTTACTAAACAAAGCACTAATTCTGTTGGTGATGAATGAAAAACCATGGTGTGTTTAATTACCAGATCACAGAAGGATACTGACATCACTGCCCTTTCTTAGTAATGATATTCTTTTAACATTACTTCATAATGAGAATACCTTAACTCATTAAATGCTTCTATTACCTAGCCTTTTATTGCCGCATTGCATGTGGGGGGCGGGGAGGTAGATGAGAAACTATACCAATAAACGTGTGGCCCTTAGAACCTCTAAGGGAACTTACTATAATGATATGTATAAATTAGTTACAATTAGCATAGCAGTTAGTAAAATGATTCTGAAGTGCTTGAAAGAAGTTTTTCTTAAGAAAAGTCAATAGATTCCTGTATTTAATTATTTAATAACCTAATGTTGATAGTTTAAAGGCAAAACTTAACTCAACACTTTTTCAAAGCTGACCAGTTTTTTAAAAAAACTAAATTCATGAATATTTCTTATATAATGTTCATCACAGACTGGGAAACTTCATCGAGTAGTGATTAATGATCATGGTGAGAGGGGTGCCTGGGTGGCTCAGTTGTTTAAGTGTCTGCCTTCAGCTCAGGTCATGGTCCCAGGGTCCTGGGATCGAGCCCTGCATCGGGCTGCCTGTTCAGCAGGGAAGCCTGCTTCTCCCTCTCCCACTCCCCCTGCTTGCGTTCCCTCTCTCGCTGTGTCTCTCTCTGTCAAATAAATAAATAAAATCTTCAAAAAAAAAAAAAAAGATCACGGTGAGACAAGTTGTGACACACACATATAGCTATGTATGTAGTTTTATATATATTTACACATAGTTGTATATATACACACACGCTAAATTAATAGGTAGTTCTTTTCTAGAGAGGGGAGGACAAGACCTTTGTAATGGGAAATGGTAGTTTCTATTTAATCCATTGTAGAGTAGAATGAATGTCTTGAGCATTCATGGGTTCTAAAACCGGCAGCATCAGCATTTTATCAAAAGCAAATTCTCAGGCTGCAGAAACTCTAGGGGTGCAGCCCCCCAATCTTTATCTCACTTTCCAAGTGGCTCCAATATAAGCTAGAGTTGAACCAGTGGTTGTAGAGAAAGTTCCAGAGACTATTCAGGAAGAAAGTTAATTATCTAAAAATGGGGTTGCTTGCAGTGGAGAGTCACATATGGATCAGAGGGTATTTAACACTTCTGAACTCTATCATTAAAGCCTGATATTTGGGATGCTTGGGTGGCTCAGTCGGTTGAGCATCTACCTTCAGCTCAGGTCATGATCCCGGGGTCCCAGGATCAAGTCCCACATCGGGCTCCTTGCTTAGCCGGGAGTCTGCTTCTCCCTCTGCCTGCCACTCCCCCTGCTTGTTCTCTCCCTCTCTCTCTCTGACAAATCAATAAGTAAAATCTTTAAAAAAAATAAAGCCGGGTATTTGCTAGATTGTTTTTTATTGCTTGTATTTCAGTAGTAAAATTTTTTATAGTTATCATTTTGGTAGGACTCCTGTTACCTTTCAAAGTAAAGTATAAGAAAATGTTTTTATGTTAAATCTATTTAAATAACCAAGATTATGTAGGCTACATGCACCTTTAAGGCTTTAAAAAAATTAATAAAGCTTTTTTTTTCTAGGTTGGTGTTGGAAACATTTTTATTTGCAGTTATTTTGTCTACCTTTACTACTGTACCTTGTTTGTGTTTGTTAGGACCAAACATCAAAGCATGGCTAAGAGTTTTCAGTAGAAATGGGTAAGTTTTAATTTTATGTTTTAGTGGTGTTTGAAATTTTAAAAAAATTAATGTAGTATTTTTCTATTCATGGCAGCTTTCTGATTATTCTATGAGCGTTTTTCCAGACTGTGGTTCTCAGGGATGCCTTAACGGCCCACCGTGGTTGGGGCTTGGGGATAGGGAAGGGGTTGTATACATCTGAGGGGGGGACTCAAGCAGGTAGAACTCTAGGCTCCTCCTTCCACTTTAGCAATATCAGCTCTGCTTTTTTTCTGTATGGGGGGATTCCACTTCTCCTTTTGTTTGAAAAAAGGTTTCTGCTACCAAAAGAAGGCTTTGAGAACCACTCCTCAGGGATGATTTGTCACTGTGATAAAATTGTTACAGATAAAATTGCTTCCATACATCTTACGATGTAGAATTGGGGTCCAAAATCTAAAAATGCTTAGTGTAACAACTATAATTTCCTGTTTAGCCTCTTTTGTGGTAAGACTTCTGAGTGCAAGTTTCATAGGATTTTATTTCCTTAGCAGCCATATATAAATTCAGCACAGCTAAGTTAAAATTTTAGCTTCTTCAAAGGCATTGAAATGGTTCCTATCAGAAATGGTTAAATTGTAACTAAGAAAGCTGTGAAGTTATTTGGTGCCCGTGATTTTGTCCTGTTTAACTTCCAGTAGCAAAAATTTCTTGAGTTCTTACTCTGTGCTCCATGCTGTGAAGCTTTGTGTGGGTTCTGAAGTATTTGCCATGATTCTCTTGCTGAGAAGTTGTATGGTCAAGGGACAAGAATAAAATGAACAAACAATATGAGATTAAAATTGTGTCAATCAGATAGTAAATGCTATTGGAACTCAGAGGGGTAGGAAACCACTGAAGAATGAGCTGGAAGGGGGAATGATCTGTAAAGGATTTGGATCAGGAGTATGAGATATGGAGAGATGAAGGGAAAAGGGAAGGATATCCATGCTAGGGTAATGATTGAAACCATAGAAACTGAAGTGAAAGTGGTAATTTTTGTAATTTGGAAGGGAACAGCACAAGTAGTACAGAGGATGCATGCTGGCTAGTAGCTAGGCTCCATAAATTATTGACGTTTTCCTTTTGAAATGAATATTGTTTCCCTGCAGAACTGTCTTCTGGTGTCAATAAGGTCTCTAGAAAACAAAAGTGTAATCATTGAAAACTTTCCCACATTGTTGCCATAGTATCCCTAATGGCATTCATTTCTTCTAGCATTTTAGTTTGAAATTTTTAAGCAGTAAAAAACAGTTGAAACATTATAGGTTTGGATTGGTGATTTACCCAGCTTTGACCTGTGTTTCTAATAATGGTATATTTGGGGGAGACGTCGTCTGATTCTGCAGTTAGTTCTGTCATAGTATGGCATATGCATCCCTAGAAATCCCTGCACTATGCAAAATTGGGCAGTAAAAAACACAGAGCTTATGGGAAAGGCAGGATTGAGGCATAACACTCGAAAACTCTTGATAGTAATACATAAAAAAGATAGGAACTTAATAAAAATGGTAGTATAGTTTTATACATATTAAATAGTTAAGTTGATAAACATTATAATGAATATGGTCCTTTTCTTTGGGGAAAAAACCCCTGAAATTTGCTTTCTGGAAGTAGTTGCCACTTGTAACTTATTATGAAGTGGTAAAGGAAGGTTGTTGTTAAATCTGATGGGAAGTTAAGGACCAGATGTGGAAGGTCTGACTCATACACATGAGGGAAACTAAGAGAGCTGGGAGTTGGGGTTTGTTTTGTTTTGTTTTTGTTTTTGTTGTTTTATGTTTCAAATTTTTATTTAAATTCATTAGTTAACATACAGTATAATATTAGTTTCAGGAATAGAATTTAGTGATTCATCACTTATGTACAGCACCCAGTGCTCATCCCAACAAGTGCCCTCCTTAATGCCCATCACCCATTTATACCATCCCCCCCCACCTGCCCTCCAGCAACCCAGGAAGATGGGTTTTTTTAAGTAGTATTGAGATATAATTCAAGTACCATACACTTTGCCTATTTAAAGTGTACAATTCAGTGGTTTTTAGTATATTCACAAGAGTTGTGCAGCCATCATCACAGTCAAGTTTAGAACATTTTCATCACCTCAGAAAAGAAACTCCATACCCTTTAGGTATCTCTTCCTTACCCCTGCTCCCCTAGCCCTAAGCAACCACTAATCTCTTCACTGCTTCTATAGATTTGCCTATTCTGGACATTCATAAAAGTGTTCTCATATAAAATGTGATCTTTTGTGATTAGCTTCTTTCACTTACCCATAATATTTTCAAAGTTCATCTATGCAGTAGTTCATTCCTTTTTACAGTGGAGTAACATTCCATTGTGCGTTTGTATACCACATTTTGTTTACCCACTCATCAGCTGATGGACATCTGCATTGTTTCTACTTTTTGCTGTTATGACTAAGCAGCTGGAAGCATTTGTATACAGGTTTTTGTATGGACATAATGTTTTTATTTTTTTGAGTATAGGCCTAGGAGTGGAATTGCTGGGTCTTATGATAACGTGTTTAATTGTTTGAGGAACTGCCAGACTGTTAAAGGTGGCTGCACCATTTTACATTCCCACAGCAGGGTATGAAGGCTCCAGTTCCCCTCCTGCATCCTTGCCAACAGTTGTTATTATCTGCCTTTATGATTATCACCATCCTGATGGGTGTAAACTGTTATTTCCTTGGGTTTTTTTATTTGCATTTCCCTACTGGCTAATGATGTCAAGTATCTTTTCATGTGCCTATTAGCAATTATATATTCTCCTTGGAGAAATATCTCTTCAGATCCTTTGGTCATTTTTGAATTGGGTTATTTGTCTTTTTTACTATTAATTTGTAAGAGTTCTTTATATATTCTAAATACAAATCCTTTATCGTATACATGACTTGCACATTCTTTCTTTCCATGGGTTATCTTTTCACTCTCTTCATTGTGTCCTTTGAAGCACAAAAGATTTTAATTTTGATGAAATCTAATTAATCAATGTTTGTCTTTTGTTGCTGTGCATTTTTTCGGGTCATCTAAGAATCCATTGCCAAATCCAAGGTCATAAAGATTTACTCCAATGTTTTCTTATAAGAGTTTTATAATTTTAGGTTTTACATTTGGGTCTTTGGTCCATTTTGTATAAGTTTTTGTATACAGTGTGAGTTAGGGGCCTACCTTCATTCTTTTGCATGTGGCCCACCAGTTGTCTCGGCACCTTTTGTTGAAAAGGCTATTTTCGGGCGCCTGGGTGGCTCAGTTGGTTAAGCGACTGCCTTCGGCTCAGGTCATGATCCTGGAGTCCCGGGATCGAGTCCCACATCGGGCTCCCTGCTCAGCAGGGAGTCTGCTTCTCCCTCTGACCCTCTTCCCTCTCGTGCTCTCTATCTCTCATTCTCTCTCTCTCTCAAATAAATAAATAAAATCTTTAAAAAAAAAAAAAAAGAAAAGGCTATTTTCCCCCTTTGAGTGATTTTGGCACCCTTGTCAAAAATCAGTTGATCATAAACACATGATCTTAGTTGTTTTTCCATTGACCTATATATCTGTCCTTATGTCAGTACCGCACTGTTTTGATTATGTGATAGATGTTTGGGGGATGTGCACGTTCTGTGTATTCATACACTGCTCGGTGCCAATGGGTGCAGTTTTTATGTGTTTACTTAGTGTTTCTCAGATGAAGTTGCTCTTATTGTTCCCTAATATATCAGTCAAATTGGAACAAATTTGCATGTTCAAAATAAGCATTATAGCAGAACTGACTATATATTTATAAGTTCCTAAAATTTTAAAATTGAAAAAAAATCAAACTTCAAAACTTAAGGGAAACAGAGAAACTACCCTTAATTTCTCTTAGTAACTTACCACAAATTTAGTATGTATATATTTTCTAATTCTGCTTTAACCGTATTTCTACATTTAGCCTGAACTATACCTTGCAGCTTGCCTATTATTTTCTGCTAGGTTGAAAAGAGCTTTTTAAAAATTTATTATAAAATTCGACTTTTGAGTATTTTGAGGTTTGCAGAGTTAATTTGTTGTCACCTTGTTTTTGTACCTATCGGCACTTTATCCCTTCTCAGAAAGATCTATAACAAAGTAAAACTGAAAATTATAGGAAGGGGAATACCATTTTCCGGCTAGCAAGCAAACTGACAAAGATCTGTAAGTTTCATAATACATAGTGTTAAAGGTTTGGGGAGGTAAGTGCCAATGGGAATATAAATTGGTTCAAGCTCTGTGAAGGGCAGTTCGGTAATATCTATAAAAATTAAAAATACCCATCTTTTGACCTAGCAGTTCCACTTCTAGGATTTTATGCACTAGACATATTTTCATACCTACAAAATATTCAGTGAGTAAGATTACTCACTGTAGCTTTGAAACAGCTTAAATGTCCTTTAATAAGGGGTGGATTAAGTTAAATTTAATGCAGCTAAAAAACAACAACAACCCAACCACTTCTTTATTTACTGATACACTGTTAAGTGGAAAAAAGCATGGTGAAGAAATGTATGCAGGATGCTACCATTTACGTAAAAAGTGAGCAGGAGAGAATAGATACACCTGTGTATCTTGGGAAGAATACATGAGATACTGATAAAAATGTTGGTTGTCTCTGGGGAGGGGGTCTGAGAAGCTAGGGGACTAGCTCAGAAGACTTTGCACCAACTAATACCCTTTGGTGTCTTTTGAAATTTAAACCATAGTAATATACTACCTAGTCAAAATGAAAATTATAATGGGTTAGGTTTTGCCAATATTAAACTTATTTGGGGGTATTGAAAGTTAGGCCTGAATCAAGAAGTTTTTAGATTTCTTTTATGCCACCTAAACCTCGGTAGACTGCAGAAATATCCTTCGAAAATTTCTAACGTACAACAAGATAATAGCTCAGTTACTGGAGGTCTATAGCTAAAAATAATCAGTTTGTAATATGAAACAGTTAACATGGCACAGGGCAGGGCATGAAATAGTAATAGGCAAAAGTAACAACTTTTAAAG